ATTTGGAGACAAGGATGTCATGTGGGATGGTTGTTTTTTCCTTGTCTGGTTCTTTCGGTCTGACTTACTTCACTGCAGTCTTCCAACTGGTTTTGACTGTAAGGGAGTGTGTGAAAGTTCCTACGGTAGTGAACCTCTGAGTGTTGTCCAAGAACTTTGAGTAACCTTGTGGTACATCTTTCTTTTCTTGCAGATTTTGTAAAAAGAAGGGTCCTGAGGCAGTAAGGGTGTTATTGCCGGAAGAGACATCTGCAGCAGTATGTATTTTCTTACTAAACTAACTAACTTTTCTTACTAACTTACTAAAGGCCTTGGCTTTAAGTCTGGACCACTACCATTTTTCTGTTGCTGTTTCAGATAGTTTAGGACAATGGAATCTCTTGTTGTCCTCATGTGAGGACTAATAGCTAAGGAGAGTCACCTCTGCCAGGCTGCCTTGGATATTCTGGGTAAAGTGATACTCTAGCCAATAGCTAACTGTTGAGACTAGAATGGTATATAAATTGCATTCATCTTGCAAGGATAATGCTTTTGTTTTAGCATCAACTGAGATGCTAAACTCCTGAGAGTTGATGGAGTTTTTATGGGGTTGATGAGGTTTGGGAAATCAAAATGGCTCAGTGCTGTTGCTTGGAGTAGCAGTTCCCACAGAGGTGGTGGTGCTCTGTTTAAATGTTGCATGCCAAAATTAAGCCTTTTCCCTCTAGACTTCTTTCTGACTTCTCACTGACTATAGTGCTGAGGCTGGTAGTTGTCATAATCTTCTATTACTTGTTATCCTCCCTGTAAAGGTTTTAAGTAGTGCAGAAGACATTGCAGTGGAACTAGCTACTGAGAAAGCCTGTGGCTGGCTTTCTGCCAACATTGCAGGTGAGTCTCCTTACCCTGAACTGGGGCTTCTAACCTATAAATTGTACTTTTCTGAGATCAGGGGGTAGAATTTATTCCAGTGTTATAAAGTACTTGGTCCTACTCATTTTTCTTTTAGTGGGAAGCATGCAGTTGCTCTGTCCCTCCTTGTTTAGGAATAAGAGGAATGATTTCTAGCTCCAAGAACCTTCTTCAGGGATTTTTCAGGCTTGGCCCATGTAAGTGATTTTTAGTTACAGAGGCTCATAGGATGGTGAGAATGAATGCTGTGGAAAGCTTCTTCTGAAAATGTCATCTGGGCTGAAGTTGTGTTAGCACTTCAAACGTATGATACAGACAGGTGCTCCATCAAGCCACCTTATGGTCCACATATGCAGAGTGCTTCTGAAATCTTCTGTAAAACAAACACCTCTTGGACTGGGTGTGTTTTTAGCAGGCTGAAGGTGACTGTAGTCCCTTTACTCTGTAATAGTGCTCTGGCAACTCTTCACAATCTCTGAAAACCCATTGTTTCAGGAGGTTGTGCCAAGAATCTGGGGAGGAATATCCAGCACCATTTGCAGCAGCAGGAGTTTAGTGTTCTGGATGCTGGTCAAACCTTATTATGGTAGAAAACATATGGCTTTCATGGGCACAGTGGTTGAACTGGTATGATCATGCTGATTCAGCTTTCTACTTTGGCATTGCTTCCTGGCTTAGCTACTGTGTTCATTAAACCTGATGAAATGTTTTGATGGAAAATGAGATGAGTTGCCAGTGGTACATGGTGGTAATGGGTGGCTGCTTTTTAGAGCTGTGGGTTAACGCACTCCCTGCGCCTGTGCCTCTGCCTGTTAAATATAATGGGAGCTCAGAGCGAGAAGGGTTTGAAAGTGTAAAACACCTTTTCCTCATTTGCCGTGGCCCTCGAAATGAGAGGATAAGGGTGGTGTTTGGAAACAGTTATCTGCCTTGCTGGTGAGAAAAGCTGAAGTAGACAGGATTTGTTCCCTGTTCTTTGTAGCACTCATCAAAAGAGAAGTGAAAGCAACCTTCAACAGAATGCTGAAGGTCCCAGGACTTCCCTTGCCCAGCGAGGATGCTCTGGAGTTGAGGAGGGACTGCCCTCCAGGCTGTCAGCACTGTGCTCCCTTTCCCTCCCAAATAATCAATGAGATTAAGGTACACAGTGTTCACTTCCTGATTTGCCCTAACTCCCTTTTTGTTTTGCAACTTGGTGTTTTTTGGGTCTTTTGGGGTTTTGCTTTATTTTTTTTTAAAGGGGATGTTCTGATTCTAAGGAACTGGCTGTGCGGAGTGTTTAGGGAGCATTATGGAAAGGTCTCGTGTTTTTTTTCATCCCCCTGCTCGCTGTCTGTGTGTAGATCGGAGTTCCTTGGCAGGAGCACTATCTCAAATACAGGATTTCTGGAAGCATGACAGTGACCTTTTTGATACGAGTAGCATAGAAACCATAGTGTGGTGAGCGTTGTGTATAACTGTATGTTGAAGAATCAACATATCAAAATAGCTACTTTTTTGTAGACCTACTCTCCTTATGGAGAGTCTCCTGGTCTCTGTTTAGAGTAAGTATTTCTTGTTTGTCTTTTCATTTCTGAAGAACTTGGTAGACTGTCCCATCTTATACGCCAGAAATTCTATATTGATTTAAGTGTCAGATGAATCTGTATGAATCCATTGAAAGATTTTTGCTGGTTTGCATCTGCACCTTCATTCAGCTATAATTAGGGAGAATCAAAAAGAAGATGATGGTAGGGACTTAATTTCAGCCTTAGATCCAAGGAATTTTCTCTTCAGGCTGGTTTGAATTACATTTTGGTCTTTTCTCACAGGCTTTTAAAAGGTCACTGTTCTTGTAAAAGTCATAGGATTATATAACCTGTGTGAGTAACCCATGAGAAAAAGAAGAATTCTGAAAACCTCGCTTTTTTACCGTTATATATTCTGCCTGTTTTTTTTGCTGCTTCTTGTCTGTTTGAGCAATAATACTGGATCTCACTGTCATCACATTGCCAGTAATTGTACAGTGGATTAGTTCACATCCTTTAATGCTTTCTTGCTCGATATAAAATGAAAAGGAGGGTAAGGTACGTGAAGAAACCAGGGGCTTTTTCTGTAACTTCTTGCTTTTTGAAGATATTTTTGTATGACATCTTGAGATACAGCTTTTAAAATATTTCTTAAGTCTTTTGATTTCCATCCTGGGTGTCTGATATTGGGTCGTAAATCTCTGGTGTTGGAAAGTGCTACCACATGTAAAATTTGCTAAACCAGTTTTCATGCTGTGTGCTATTAGTTTTCTTCATACTCAGCTTTTATTGACACTGGAGCTACCTTGACAATATAAGAAGGATTTCTGTAGCACTTCTACTCTGAACTTGCTTGCTGTGCTATCAGATTAATCTAGAGCTTTCAGAGCTAGTTACTTTCAAGAAGGATGAACTGATGCCCTCATTGACTTTGGCTTCAGAACATTAGTGAGAACTATGGTAGAAAATCAGACCTAGATAAGGTTGTGAAAAACTCAGTTTTAATCCGTCTCTTACGATATGAAGAGGATACTATCATTTGGGGGCTTTTTTTGTTTGTTTGGGTTTTTTTTAATGAGGATCTGAGGACTATCTATGAACTGCTCTGTCATAGGTCCAAAGATGTGTTTGTGCAAGATATGCAGGATACTAATAGTTGAATTACTGCCTTCTTTTTCATCAAGGATGTGCTCTGTGTTGCTGTGGGCCCACGGGATGAGGGTGAAGTGATTGACTATGTCTGGCTGGAGTGCTTGCTGGGAAGATTGAGTCAGACGCTTCAATGCAGAAAGGTAGAAGTAGATTTTGAGCTGTCTCTATACCTGTAAACTTGTTTGCTTGCCTTGCTGCGCTGTTGAGTTCAGTTGAATGTTTTTTATCCGAGCTCAAATGTGATAAAGTTGCACTGCTTTTTTTTTATATTGTGTAGATCTGCTTGTTACTTAAAATTAGCCTATGTGGATCCCCTTTTCATATATGATCTTTTTTTGTCTTTCAGTCTTTAATGGGCTCTTGATTACAGCTCTGTGCTTCTTGCTGTGAATTTCCTACTCTTCTCTGATATTTTTATCCCATGTGAAGCCCTGTTTTGTCCAGTCTGCAGTGTGAGGACAAAGATGATAACTTCTTCTTTGTGTTTTCCAGTTCATGTGTCCCACATCAGAACAGCAGCTGGCAAAGTGCACGGTTGAGTTGGCTTCTTTGCTGGGTAAGTCACGATAAGCTATTTAAGACTGAAATCTGTTAGTATAGTTCTCTTAAATCCTTGGGGTCAGAGACTTCAGTATTTAGAGCTCATGGATGTTTGATTCTCTTTGGTGTCATTGAGGCTGCAGTTTTCTTTTTTTTTTCTGTCAGTTTGGGTGGTTGCTCTTAGTCCCTTCCACCTTCTGCGAAACAGCATTATACTGTGACTAACCATCCTTCGGATCTGGTGTCCTCATTCACATCTCCATTGTTTTTTATTTTCTGATATCTTCATTTAAATATGTGATATATTTTCCAGTATTCCTGCCTCTGAAAAGTTGTGGCTGAGTTGTTTCTTTTTTTCCTAGAAGTAAGGGCCTGTTCCCTTAAAGTCTATTTTTATGACTCTTTGGAGAGAATGAAAGTAACTTATTTTTTGTGTATTGTGACTTCTCTGAGCATTTTCAGTTTTGTTTTGTTTCGTTTTCTACTTTTGCTCTAATGTGTTAAGTACAGTGTTTTTCTCAGCAGTAGCTAGTGATCTGGATGCAGGTGTTTTCTCCCTGGGCAACCTTCTAATTTCCTGGGTTTAGAACCTTCTTAAGGAGAAGTCTTATACATGGTTCATTCTTTCAGGAAGCAGTTCACATCTGAATATTGTGAAATTTCATTCTTGGGGGACAGCAGTGTAAATCTGCCCCATTCCATTCAACTGTATCAAGGAAGATCTGGTATCTTCCCTCTGTATGTTTAGCTGCAGTTAAACACTGTTCAGCTTCACCTTCACTTGTATGAACTTAGGCAACTCTGCCTGTAGTCAAAACTATGAACAACTATTTAATCTGTTTATAGATTTAAATGTTTTACTGTGTTACTCTCCTCTCCTTTGGAGTAACATCTAGGTCCTCTTTTATTAAACATTAGGCTGACTTTGACTTAGTCAGTTGTCTTTCAAGACTTGGGGCTATATGCCAACCAAGTGATATTCTTTATCTGAGTAGTATAAATCTCTTCCTATGTAATACTTGTTTGTATAGTTTCAAAGCTCATAATTTTCATAGAATCACAGAATGGTTTGGGTTGGAAGGGACCTAAAAGATCTTCTAGTCCCACCCCCCCTGCCATGAGCAGAGACGCCTTCCACTAGACCAGGTTGCTCAAAGCCTCATCCAACCTGGCCTTGAACACTTCCAGGAGGGGGCATCCACAGCTTCTCTGGGCAACCTGGGCCAGTGTCTGACCAACCTCACAGAAAAGGATTTCTTCCTAATGTCTAATCTAAACCTACCCTCTTCCAGTTTAAACCCATTTCCCCTTGTTTTGTCATTAACTGCCCCTGTCAAAAGTCCCTCCCCAGCCTTCCTGTAGCCCCTTCAGGTACTGGGAGGCCGCTAGAAAGTCTCCCTGGAGCCTTCTCTTCTCCAGGCTGAACAACCACAACTCTCTCAGCCTGTCCTCATAGCAGAGGTGCTCCCAGCCCTCGCATCATCCTTTTGGCCTCCTCTGGACTTGCTTCAGTAGGTCCATGTCCTTCTTGTGTTGCAGGCCCCAGAACTGGATGCAGTACTGCAGGTGGGATTCACTGGTTTACACTCACTGAGTGTTTTTACTTCAGTGATTGTTTAGATACCAGCTATACAAAACATGTTGCTGGACCAAGATGATGACTATGAAAGGAAAATAATGCAGCTATAGAAGTTCACCTTTCTTCCTTTTCTTACAGTTTCAGATCGTGTTCCTCTGAGTCTCGGGATCAAGTCCCCAGAGAAGAGCTCCGAGAGGCTGTGTGTAAAGAATAATCCCGCCTATGGCCTTCTAAAACTGCTGCTTTCTGTCTGGAAGGAGGACTTTGGGACACCTGTTCCTGTGCAGCTGATGTTCAGCAAGAAGAACATTGGTTATCTTGCAGAAGTTAAGCAGCAAGAGGTAGAGCTCATTCCGATCTGTGGAGCTGCCTCTTACCTGCTCTGGTCTAATACACTGATGTATGGGTTCTGCCTGCCCACAGTGTTAACTGATTGCTTGTGGGAATGAGGCCAGCAGGATTTGCTCTGCTGTTAGCTGCTGTTGTTTTTGCAGGGGCAGAGAAAAAGAGGACTGTATACTACGTAGTGCTTGGTACCTGCCTGGGAAGCTGTCAGGAAGTCATAGTTTAATTTAGGAACAAATGGCAAAATGGCCCATTTGGCCTGGGAGATTGTGAGGACTGAACAGTGACTTTGTAATTGGTTGTGTTCGTGTGTCTTTTATCAGCTTTCATATTTGCATGTGTATCAGTGTTGTGAGATCCCCAACTCTGAAGCTGAAAATCGCCCTATTTAGTTGCAGGCTAAAACCAGCTTATTTGGGCAGATAAGAATTTTTCAAGCTGTTCTTGAACACACACAGGAATTAAATACTTTGTGTGTTTGGAAACTGAGAATTAGAAATTTTGAGACTTTATGGCAGAATACAACATATGAACTAAAGGAATTTTGTTCACTCATTTTGGCTGTTACCCTTTGGTGTCCTTCATTGCCACACCCAGATAAATAATGTGCTTTCTCCTTGTGCTCCTTTTCTCCACATTTTGATCCAAGAAGAAAAACATGAATTGTATAGGGATAAAGAAATTAACACAAAATCAATTTCTTTTTGAGTTACTGATATTTTTTTTCTTCTTCTGCAGTGGGATTTGTTCCTTTTCATGCTTCATGGTCTTGTAGAACATGAACTAATGAGAACTAGTGAAATAGAGAGTCGCTTGCACAGCCTCAAAGAGCTCCCTTGGCCTTCAGTAAGTAATTAGACGTGTGTGGACAAGTAAAGCTACATAAACGGTCAGTCCTTGTAGTTCTGTTTCATGTAGATGAAGCCCTTAACCTTCCCAATCTGTAGATCCTGCTTATTGCAGCAGAAGGGCTGACTTCCAACAGGCTTGATATGCTTACTAGTGTTTGTCTGAAATCTCTACTTGTGTGAATCCCAGCATTTCCCATGCAGTCGAAACATTTCCAAGAAAATTGTAAACCAGGTTGGAGACCAGCTGGCTCAGTTACCAGCTCTTAGCCTGAATGTGTTTGCTATGCTCCAGGTCAGAATGACATGTTGGGAAGGGTCTTAACTGACCAGACTTGCATTTAAACCTCTTTGCCTCCTACCACCAGTGTTGTGAGAGCAGTCAGACTATTCTAGCCAGAGTCAAAATGTAGGAAATCGCCCAAGTCCCTCACTAAAAAGTGGACAGTATTTTAAGCACTTGCATATTGGAGGTGCTTAACCGTTTAAACTGTGGCAGTGATCTTTTCTGAGAAGGGCAGGGGGATTAGAGAGCAGACGGCACATGTAGACCTATAGGCATTCATCTTTACAATCAGTTTTGTAGCTTGTCTAGGTTTCCACACTGGGAAATCATCAACAACATGGTTAACCTTGTAAAGTTCTTTACTAGAAAAATTAAGTAAACCTCTTCGTTGACATTTATTAATAAAGGTTCTCTGGTTTGTATCTGTTTGTTACAGGATTTCTTAAAAGAACTGGAAATGCTGTCTAGAGTATTTTTATCAGAACATCGTATAGAAGAGCCCAGGACTAACCCTTGTGAGCTGACGAGACAATCTCTAGGTACCATCACAGCACAGAGTTAGTGGAGGTGGATTCTCTGTGGATAAAAATCACTAATGAAGATGCAATTAGGGTTTTTAATGTTTCTGAAGGCATGGTGAGCTCCTGCTTGGAGAATACTGCAGAGAAGAGGTCACTCTGTGCAAAAACTGCACTGGTCTTTCTGTCCGTAGACATTTTGCTGTGGTGACTATGCTGAAGGATTTACATCAGCAAATGGATCTCCAAGTCAAAAGTAATTTAAGCACCTTGATTGTGGCTCAGAGCAGCTGGTTGTTTTGGTTTTTTTTTAGACTCATAGACACTTTCTGTATTTGTGCAGCAACAGGCTGTGACCAAACCCAGGACAAGTGGACAAGTTACTTTGTGATCAGAAGGTGGTTTCCTGGTGGCTGTCTCAACTTAATGTGATTTCTCATGCTGTCTTTTACTACAGACTGTGCTGTCAGGGGAGGGAAAAGGTAAACCTGTATGACATGGAGATGAGCCTCTATTTATTTTTAATTGTAAACTCAATTTTGAAGGTTTGATTTAATTTTTTTTAAGACTCATTTTAAAAGTTAAACCATATTAAATATATACACCATAACATTGATGGTATTATTCTTAAAGGATGTAGATGCTTAAGTGTTTTCCATCTCTTGTTGGAAACAGAACTTGTAATTTCTCCAGGGTTTTTAATAGAAATAAGGGAGAAAATATCTGTTTATATTTTCTACTGAAGACAGATGACAGTATTTTTTAAGACACTTTTATAGTATGTGAACATAAATGGCATCTGGCTGCTATTCACTGTTTTTTATAATCCTTCTTGCCTTGAGTTTGGGTTTTATCAGACAGGAAATGCTGCAGCAAGAAAACTACAGCCTGAAAAAACAGACAAAAAAAAAGTAGTGAAAAAGCACTGTGACATCCTCTGGAGAGCTGGGTTTTTTTGAAAGGAATCGTTCCCATGGAGGACAGTGGGTGTTCTCTGCCCTTGCAGATAGATCATCACCAAGGATGTGACCTCCTATCCACCCCACCAAGTATTTCCTTAAACTGGGGTTTGTGCTGGTGGTTAGCAGAATGTGATTAGGTGCTCATTAGCTGTCTCATGGGATTTTTTTTTTTTTCCCCCTCCCCATACCAGTGAGGATATTATTTCCTTTTGTCTAGGAATGTCCTGTTAGTGCAGGCTTTTTCCAGAAAGCAAATACTGGGTTATTTAAGAACAACACCTGGACAAAGTGAAGCCCAGGGCTTTTGAGCTTGCTAATTAACTTACCTCCTTGTGCAAGACGAGAAAAGGTAGCGTCTTGGAGTCAGTGATTTAAGAAGAACCGCAAACAGGACTCATGGGGTAGAACCGTGGCTTCTGTTAAAATATATGTGATACAGAAAGAGAAACCATAGAGGCACATCTGTGTCTGACCTGTACTGAGCTTTCTCTTGACTTGGTTGCTGAGCACTGTATGAAAAGATTTGGCACATTCCATCGGCATGCCTTGTTTTAGGTGTTTTCTGAAGTGAATGAAGCAGAGTCCCTAAAAGTAGGCATGCTGTGGGGGCAGCAAGGACATGGTATTACAACTTGAAATAGCAAGTACACGATATCACACCGTACCTGCTCCCAGAGGCTCAGTATTATGTGATGTTTTGCTGCAAATCTAATCTGAAGTTGGTTTTGTTTTTTGTTTTTTTTTTTTTTGTCATAATAAACATGATTAAATGTCCTGGTTTGTGTTCAAGCTGTCGCTATGTAACCTCTTTTTGCTGGGGCAAAGTACAAAAAAGGTGCGTTGTGACAAAGCATGGGGTAGATAAAAATATAGTAATCTTTCCAGTCCAACCTGCTGCTGCTTTGCTTACAATGAAATGTAACTTTATTTTGTTAAATGAGGGGGTTGGTGGAGAAGGGAAGAAGCTGGAATCCATATTGGTTAAAAAGGTACTCTTGGCTCTGGAGCTGACTTTATTTTGGGCATTGTAAAACTTTGCATAAATATTGTGGCCACAGCGCTTTTCATGACTTGATCATACCTAAATTATCCTTTAGTGATGCAACATGCTTGGAAATTTTTACTTAAAAGGTGACCAGGCCCCAGGAGCAGTTTCCTACATCTAGAGAGCATAGTTGTGCATTATTGGGCAGAAGGCAGTCAGTTCTTTGGTGGGAACCACAGGTAAGAAACACCTCTGTTACCATGTTCTTAGGTCTTAATGCAGTTACTCTGGTTCCTGGGTATCCCCTGGCACCCAGCCCTGGTTGCTCTGTAAAGCCAGACCCCTGACTTGGTAACTAAACCTTAGGAGCAACTGTATAGCATGCTGCTTTCTGCCTAGGGAAACTCAACAGTGGGACTCCTCTCTTGATGATGCACAATTCTTTGAAGTCTGGGGCTGGTCGACTCAGTTCACTGCATGCTGCTTCTAGCTGTAGTGCCAGAGTTGCTGTGAGGAGGAGGCGGGGCGGGGAGAAGAGAGCTCACAGCAAGCTAGGTCAGTGTGTGGCCTTCCTTCCGTCAGTCTTTCCCACTGCAAACTCACAACTCGGAAAAAAAAGGAGGAAAAGTGCCATTATATTAACTTCCTTCTGGATGTGCAGGGCAAAGAGGTTGTGTAACTGGACTCAGGCAGAAGCTTTAGCTGGTGCCTTGTTTCAAGACACCAGACCCTTTGCTTAGACCAGGCACTGTGTCACAGAAACCAAATTTGAGCAGTGACTGGTTCTTGACTCTTGTGCCGGAAGCTGATATTTGGTGCACGTTCCTGTTCCTCAGCAGGTCCGCAGGAAACTTACCTCTTTTACCACAAACTCGCCTTGATGTTATCTCTATAACCAGCATAAATAGTCATCTTCAGTAGAAAAACACCTCCTCCTCTGGAAGCCTCATTCTATAGATGGGCATTTTAGCTGGAGTAAAATAACATGGGGCACATTTGCTTGTGTAGAAAATACCATTTATTGTGGATATGAAAATAGCAATCTTGATTAAGAGCAGAGATGCAACAGTAGGTGGTACAATACAATTGGTTTGATCATCTACTGCTCAGCAGTAATTTACAGGAAGTGGTTTTTGCCCATTGTAGACTAACAAATTAGATATCTGCTGGGTTGTTATTTCTTCCTTCCAAACAAACCAATGCCGTACAGTAACAGGTACCATAAAATGTTATATTTGCAAAATAAAACATTCATATAAATAGGCTTTTTAGTATCAATTGAAGATTGTATTAAAAAAAAAAGTTACATTAATTCAATACCAATAAAAATAAAACTTAGCTTTGATAGCATATAAAAACGCTTCAAAACAAGCATATATAAATAACTTAATTTGTAAACATAGAGAAAAAATTTTATGTATATATAAAAATAAACATCTGATGCACTGTACAATAAGACATTATCCTTCATAGGCACTGGCATCGTTGATCAACAGGAGTCCCCCTAGATGTTTTTCCTACAAAAACTGCTTTATCTCTAGTGCCATGTCCAAAATAAAAAGGAAAATAAGCAAAGCACTGAGCAAATCTTTTGTGGATTGTATGAAGAGCTCCCTTACCTCCTCAGGAAATCCGTGGAAGCAGCACTGGGGACAAGGTCAATACACTGTGCTGCCATTTCTGCTCATTTTTTTTCTAGGGCGTTTATGTACTTCCTTGTTCACCCTTCCTTTCTTGGTTTCCACCAAAAGGGGGGGACTGTATGACAGGTTCCAACTCTGGAGATCTCTCTTTTCACTCAGTTGCAGAAAACTTTGTGACACATCATTGCCCCTTTTTTTCCTTGATGGGCTATGGAAAATGCATGACACTTGCAGTGGACCATGCCATGCATGACTCGGTTTGGCAGGCTTTTAAGAAAAGGCTGAGCCTCACCAAAAGAGACCGGTAATATACTGGTGTTAGGAGTGTAACCATGACCATCTAATGATAAAACAAAGCAAATTTGTAAGTAGTTGAAGGTTTTTGTTATCCTACCTGGTATAGTTTGGGGGGAAGCCTTGGGCTGGTACGTCTCAAAACTGCTATTTTCTTAAATATAAATTTAAAATAGCTATTTTCTTTTAAAACTTAATATATTAATAACAGGAAGTAACATAGAAGCTGAGAGCCAAAAATTACACCTGTGCGAAGATATAGTAAAAGTAGATCTTGGCTCTTGAACACAAAGATGGGAAGTGCAGCTAACTTCACCATATGCTGGGAAAACACATCTTGTACTGAAAGTAGCTGTTAAAGTAGCAGATGCTGGCTCTGGTAAGGTGGATGCTTGAATACATATTTCTCACCTGACATTTAAAGTGCAATAGCTTCTTGAACAATGGGGGCTTTGAGCTAAAGCAAGCATATCATAGCAGCTTTTATTGCTTAGATAAGATATCGAAAGTTATTCTTTACCATTGTGCTGAAGAACTAAATGAAGTTATTCAGATATTTGAGTTGCTTGTGTTTTTTGTTTAATTTTAGGAATGTGTGACTGAACTAGGGAGTGTGTTAAACAAACACATAAAGTCTGACAGCAGGATTGTTGGACTAAGTTCAACAGAAATACCATGAGGTAATTTAATGGGAAGAGCCTGTATTCACTGCAGTGAGACAGCTGGTCATGTTGTGAACAGAGACGTGCGATAAGACTATGACCAGGCTACATTTTCAGCCCTTAGTGCCTTTGGGTAAAAGTGTAGAAGGTCTGACAGAAAAAGCCATTGTGGAAAAATGCTGGAGCTACTCTGAATTGCAGGATTTAAATTCTAGAAACAAGCTGACCACTCGGTACTACTCCCAAGAAATGACAAAGTGTCACTGTTTTCAACTGTCAGTTTGGTTTCTCTATTTCAAAGCACCTAATTCTGCAGTGCAGTAAAACTGTGTCCTGAGGTGTGGTGGTTTCCACTGATGCTGCATAGTGTAGTAGCAATCTGAAATACCTTATACTGCCTGTAAGTAGTCAGCCAATTCCATGAGAAAACTCTATCCAGGGTGCGAGGTGACTAGTGGATATCATGCTGTTTTAACTGCCCTTCTCAAGGGGAAGGAA